CCGCGCTCTGGCTCTCCCCCCGGCCTCTGTCCCGCTGACTTGGGAACCTCGCTCCTTTGCTCTCTCAGAGATTTCCAGTGTCCCTGACAGATGTGGGGCTGGCGGCCCAGGCCAGCCCAGCGAGCTCACACTCTAGTGGGGACACAGGACACACAGGGACACTTACTTCTCAGTTACACTTTCATACCCAGCTGAGTAACACATTCCAGTAGTTCACTTTTCAAAAGCCACAAGAAGGTATGGCGTGAAAGCCTAACTGAAGAGTTTTAGGCTCCTGGCTTTCTTCTCTAAGGGGCTCTGGTGGCACAGTGGCTAAAGCATTCAGCTGCTAACCAAAAGTCAAGTTGGAACCCACCAGCCACTCTGTAGGAGAAAGATGAGTCAGTCTGTTTCTGTAAAGATTGACAGCCTTGGGACCCTGTGGTGCAGTTCCAGTCTGTCCTCTAGGGGCGCTGTGAGTCGGAATGGACTCCATGGCAGTGGGTGTGGTTTGGTCTTTGCTTCTGTGAAGATTGACAGCCTTGGAAACCCTGTGGAGCATTTCCAGTCTGTCCTCTAGGGGTGCTGAGAGTCGGAATGGACTCCATGGCAGTGGGTGTGGTTTGGTCTTTGCTCTGCAGGCCAGGTTCTTGTGTTTCTTCACCCCTACGTGGTATTGTAGGTGCCGTGGAGTCGACTCAACTCACGGTGACTCCATGCAACGGAGTAGGGCTGCCACGTAGGGTTTCCTCGGCTGTCATCTTTCTGGGAGCAGCTCTCCAGGTCTTCACTCCCGCGGAGCCACTGAGAGGGTTCAAACCACCAACCTCTCCGTCAGCACTGAACCGTTGCACCACCAGGGCTGCTTCTTTTCTGTGCTTAGACAAGCAACGTCAGCTGGCTCGTGACTGCTGGGTGGGTGCCGACTCTTGCTGACCTCACATACGACAGTGCGAGGCGTCCCCTGCACCGTCCTCACAAGTGCCACCATGGTCAAGTGAGAGACATCCCCCGCACCATTCTCACCAGTGCCGCCACGGTCAAGGCTGCAGATCCACGTTCTTTGTGTCCTGCAGCCTTGCTCACCATCCTTTTCCAAAATATCCCGCCGCTGCGAACGTCAACTCACCGACCCCTAAGCAAAACTGCCCCTCGCCCGCCTGCCCATTCCTGGTCGCCTTTCGTGAGCTTTGGCTCCTGTGCGTTTGTTTGTTTCCTGTCAGTGGGATCAAACAGCGTGTGTCCTCTGGCGACTGACTGACCACTCAGCATCATGTCCTCGCCGTTCATCTGTGTGGCAGCCTGAAGCCAGCCTGCATTTCTCTTTGTGTCTAAGAAATACCCCGTTGTGTGTATGGACCACACTGCATGAGCCTGTTCGTCTGTCGATGGATGTGTGGGTTGTGTCTGCCTTTGGCTACGGTGAAAAGTGCCACAGCGAACACTGGTGGCAGGTTCCACTTTTAAGTGCTGGTCGGAACCCGCTAAAATGACCCTGAGCCGTTGTCACTCGGTGTGGTTTGCCGCTGCCTGGGAGAATTGGTGCTGGTGTGACATGGCAGATGAGGACACGGAACCTGGAGCCTGGCTTTGCAGGTTCAGACCCCGGCTGTGCCCCTTACAGCCCCTGTGACCTCTGTGGGCCTCAGTTTCCTGCCCTGTAAGATGAGGTTGACGATAGCGTCTACTTCTGGGTTGCTGGTAGGATTTAAGGGGTTAATACATGGAAGGTGCTCAGAACAGGGTCGGAAATGTTGAAAACACCATGTAAGTAAAAGAAAACAAAAAGCCAGACACCAGCAAACTCTTCCGTAAAGAGCCAGGCTGTAGATATTTGAGGCTTCCTGGCGGAAAGTAGTCATAGATCACACACGAGCGACTGAGCATGTCTTTGTTCTCTAAGACTTTATTCAATGTGAGTTTCATACAGTTTTCCTGAGTCACAAAATACTCTTAGTTTGATTTTTCCAGCCACTTAGAAAATGTGGAAACCGTTCTTGGCTTTGGCCTGTGGCGTGTCGTTTGCCGACCCGTGGCCGTCGAGTCAGTCCCAGCTCATGGTGCCCCGTGTGTCAGAGAAGAACTGCAGGGCTTTCAGCGGCTGGTTTTCGGAAGTAGAGCTGTGCGGGTTGTGCAGTGCTGTTGGGGCTCCTAGTGACCCCACATGACGGAGTAGAACTGCCCCATGGGGTTTGCCTGGCTGTAATCTTTAAGGCAGCTGATCACCGCTGGATGGGTTCAAACCGCCAACCTTGTGGTTAGCAGTCAGGTGCTTATCTGTGCTGTTGGGGCTCCTAGAGGCATTGGCCTGTGTTCACCAGCCCATAGAGGGCCTCCCTTCTTGTAACATCTGTATCCTGTTTGATGTTATGGACACACCATGACTGATTTAGTCGGGATGCTGTTCATGAACGGGGCAGTGTGGGTC